ATTCACTTGTCCAGATCTCTGCATTCCTTGTCCTTAGAGGAGGCAAGATCCAGCAGGAGATGGAAACTGTTTCACAAGGAGAAACACAAGAATTTCCTGCTGGCAAATCTGGCAACAAATTGCCAGTGACTTAACCAGATGTCAAGATTCCATGATAAAAAGTTCTCAGTTCCACCCAGACAAGGTGATTCACTTGACCAGGTTGGGGCAGGACTATCTATAACTCACACTGGCCAGAGAGACCCTTACCAAGGAAATGAGTGTAGAGAATTCTTTGATGATTTCTCCAAGTTTGATCTTCATCAACAGTTGAACTCAGGAGGGAATTCTCATCCATATTGTGAGTATAGGAAAAACTTCTTTTACAGCTCAGCGCTCCACATTCATCAGAGCACTCACATAGGACAAAAACACTGTAAGTGTGGTGAGTGTGGGAAGGAATTCAGGAATTCAGAGCTCACGTCTGCAAACTCACCAGAAGATCCACACCAGAGAGAAGCCATTCAAATGTGAGCAATGTGGGAAAGGCTTCAATTGTAGACCAACACTTAGTGACCATCGCAAATTACATTTGGGAGAGAAGCCTTCTAAGTGTCAGGAGATGTGGAAGGGTCTTCATTCACGGTTGCCATCTTCAGGACCATCAGAGAGTCCACACTGGGACCATTCAAATGTGATCTTTGTGGTAAGAACTTTCATCATAGGTTGGCACTTACTAGTTATTGTGTGGTCCACGCCAGGGAGAAAAACTGTACAAACGTGAGGAGCGTGGAAAGAGCTTCTTTTCTAGAGCAAATCTCTATAACCATCAGGGGATCCACACAGGTGAGGTAATCCCCTGATTGTCACAGTATTTAAGATACAAGATAGCAAAGAGGAAGAGTGAACATCACCCAGAACTTTGCATCCTGTTCTAGAAAAAAGACATAATGTGTTTTTTATTGTATGCAAGATACTTGTATCAAAGTAGATTGAGTATGATTTTGTTACGGTATTTATTTGGAGATTAAGTATGGCTTAAGGAGATGTGTATAGGTGCCAATTTAACAGAGTGGACTATGATGATCAGCATCATGTGTCAACTTGGCTAGACCACAGCAACTAGTTATTCAGTCAGACACTAAAGTATTTTGTAGATGTGATTAACATCTACAGTTGACTTTGAGTAAGGGAGATTATCATAAATAATCTGGATGAGCCCAACTCCATCAGTTGAATGGCCTACTCAAGGTCCCTTGAGATGGTATATAAATTTTAGGGTGGATTTCTCTATTTCTGCAAAAAAGGTCATTGGAATTTTGATGGAGATTGCGTTGAACCTGTAGATCACTTTGTGTATTTGTGACATTTTAACAATATTAAGTCTTTCAATCCATGAACATGGGATATGTTTTCATCTACTTATGTCTTCTTTAATTTTTTCATCACTGTTTTCTGATTTTCATCATACAAGTTTTCTTCCTTGATTAACTTTATTGGTAAGTATTTTACTCTTTTTGCTACTATTATAAATGGAATTGCTTTTATAATTTCCTTTTTAGTTTGTCCACTATTTGTATATAGCAATGCAACTGATTTTTATGTGTTGACTTTGTATCCTGCTACATTGCTGAGTTCATGTATTCTAACAGTTTTGTAGTGGACTCTTTAGGGTTTTCTACATATAAGATCATGTCACCTACAAACAGAGATAACTTTACTTCTTCATTTCCAACTTAGATACTTTTTAGTCCTTTTTCTTGCCTAATTGCTATGATTAGAACTTCCACTGCTGTGTTAAATAGAAATGGTAAAAGTGGACATCCCTGTTCCTGATCTTAGAGAAAAAGCTCTCAGTTTTTCATCATTGAGTGTGATATTCACTGTGGGTTTTTAATATATGGCTTTTTTATGTTAAAGTAATTTCCTTCTATTCTTAGTTTGTTGGTCATCTTTATCATAAAAAGGTGATAGATTTTGTCAAAGGCTTTTTCTGTATTAATTGAGGTAATCATGTGTTTTTCCCTTCATTCTGTTGATGTGGCATATTATATTGATCCATAATCATATGTTGAACAATCCTTGCATTCCAGGAATAAATCCCTCTTGATCATGGTATATAATCCTTTTCATAAGCTACTGAATTTGGTTTGCTAGTATTTTGTTGAGGATTTTTGCATCAATGTTCAAAAGGGATATTGGCCCTTCCTTTTCTTGTAATGTCTTTGTCTGGCTATGGTAACAGGATAATGCTTGCTTCATAGAATAAGTTAGAAAGTATTTCTTTCTCTTCAATTTTTTGAAAAAGTTTGAGAAAGACTGATGTTAGTTTTTCTTTAAATGTTTGGTAGAATTCACCAGTGATACCATTAGATCCAAGGCTTTTCTTTGTTAAGAGATTTTTTATTACTGATTCAATCTCCTTACTAGTTATAGGTCTGTTCAAATTTTCTCTTTCTCTTTGATTTTAGCTTGATAGATTTTGTGTTTCTAAGAATTTGTCCATTTCACCTAGTATATCCAATTTGTTGGTGTACAGTTGTTCATAGTACTCTTATAATTCTTTTTATTTTTGTAAAATCAGTTATGTCCCTACTTTCATTTCTGGTTTTAATAATTTGAGTCTTCTCTCCTTTTTTCTTGCATGTATGTGTAGTGAGAACATTTAATACCTACTCTTTTAATGAATTTCAAGTATTTAATGCAGAATTATTAACTATAGTCACAATGCTGTACATTAGATCCCCAGAATTTATTCATCTTATGCTGATGTGTCCTTT